AAGCATAAAGGATTTGCCGTGACATTTATGATTAGCGGACCACTTTTGATCACAATTAAAGCACAAGCCCCGTTGACGCCGTTCTTGCATCTCACTGGGGGTTAACCTTCGAATGGGTATATTCGGGGAATTGGGTGGTGCTGGACGGTTGGTGTTTTGCCTCGACGGTGGTAGCGCTGGTAAGGCGGGAGGTGGTGGAGTGGGTAGCAACGCCGGCTTTTGGCTCGTGGATGAATCCGTGATAATCGGAGTGGATGTCGTTGTATACTGTATCGGTTGTGAGGACCGTTGCTGCCAGCGTGGGCCTGAAGGGTAGGGCATCTGTGAAGCTTCATATTTATCTTCAAATAAGCAGGCTAAAGAAAAAACCTTGTTCAAGGATTTTGGTCGGGCGATCAACAATTCCCGCTGCAGCAATGGTTTTAGTCCGGATATAAAAAACGAGATTAACAAAGACTCCGAGATACCCGCGGCACGGTTCATAAGTCTCTCGAATTCTGCCTGGTATGCACTCATCGATCCACATTGAATGAGTTTTGAAAGTGCCCCTGATAATCCTCAAACTGAGACGGGCCGAACCGCAACTTGACTTGGTGAAGAAAATCGGTCCAATCACGGAGGAGGTTATTATTGGTCATCCATTGGAACCACTCCGAGGCCATTCCTTCAAGATGGAATGCCACAATCTGAATCCGTTGATCTTCTGCGGTACCGACAAAGTCAAAATATTGTTGAATACGGAAAATCCATGTGAAGGGATCGGTGCCATCGAAACGAGGAACGTTGAGTCGCAACGATCTGTTGGTGTCGTGAGCATTGGTTGAGAGCGGTCGGGATGGATGGTGTGTTGACAGAGGCATGGGCAACCTGCTGGACGAACTGCCGTCGGTGGTTTTTGGTTCCTTACCACGGACTTGAGATTGTAGTTGGTCGATCAATTGTTGCATGGCATCGATCGACACTTTCTGAGATGCGTATTGGTCCTGCATGGACTGTATCTGCACATTGAGCGAATCAAATTGTTGTTTCATAGCAGCCATAAAATTTTCTTGCATGGTTTGAAGGATTTCAGTTTGATCAGACATGGTTTTGGATGTTCGGGTTCACGCCTTCTCAATGAGATCTCCAGTTTGATACATCTCCATATCAGTTTTGCACAACTTCGAGCGCGTGCAGACTCCGGGAGAAGAAGAATAGAAGGGAAGGGACGAACAACGGATGAAAGAGGGAAGGAGATTATTATTATTAAGCTGGCTTGATCTTCCAATACAATCATAGCTATTTAAATACTTCCACAAAGCATCATTCCTTAATTAACTCACTGGTAATAAAAGTAAATCTCTCCTAAAATGTCTCTAACGGCTCTATGATTGACAAGGGAATCTTCATTGCTCCTGATTATTAGCTAACCATCCATGCATAGTCCATTCAATCATAAATATAATTTCCATCCATCCATCCATTTCGCTGGTTTCCTTATGCGGCCTGAGCGTCTGACTTGGGGATCTTCTTGTTGATTGAGTTCTTGAATGATTGGTGTATCATTGAAGTACCCTGGATCGAGAATGAGAAAAGAAAGATCTCTCCAAAGCACTCCAAACTTCAGCGGCTGTAGAGAGTCCAACGACTTGTTCTAGGACTTCTTTAGTTAAAGAAGCTACAAGCCAGCTTAGGACCAACTGATCTAACTGCACCCAGGTGGAAAATTCTGGTTTCAGAATTCTTACTGTTATCAACAGGATCTAGAATCACTTCTGAGGGAGGCTTGGCCGATCCATCAATGAGTCCCATCAACTTGTGGGCTCGAAGTACTGGAAGCAATTGAGCTTTCTAGAGAAGAAAATTTTCACCATTGAGTTTGATTGTCCGATAATGAGAAATATTATGAATAGAACCGATGTTCATTGGTAGGGAAGAATTATGGGAAGAGGTTGAGCTCGAGCTCATTATCTCAGAAGCAATGGAGGTGTTGTAGGCCATGGCTCTTATACCAAGTTAAATCTTGAAAGATAGATTTAAAAGAATGGGTTGAATTTCACTAGACAATTAAGAGCTTTTACAAGGTTGTATATATACAAAAAGAATAATGAAAGAATTAGAAATAATTACAAGAATAGAAATAACAAATTAAGGCAAGAGCTTCATTAGAAAACTTTCAAAGAGGAGAGTTGCATTTTTGCTTTAATTAGTCTCTCTATGGTAGGAACTCTCTGAATAGTAGCTGGTCCAATTTTAGCAGGAAGACTAGAGCCCTCTTTGGTGAAGTATAGTCAGTCAGGGCTGCCGCGGGAGCTCGGAATGGCTGCGCTGTAGGAGCTCGGAACAGTTGGTCTGGCCTCATTCCCCGAGCTAGGTCCTTCATCTTCCGGCTGTCCCCCTGGCTTGAGGATTCGCCCTCCCTCTTCCTCTTCTCGGGTGCACCTTCGCTCTTCTGGTTGATCTCCTCCTCTGTTGCTATAAACCTGTCCGCAAGCTTAAGGAACTCGGCTATGGTCGCGGGCTGGTTGACGACCATGTGCCACTTAAACTCCTTGTATGTTACACCTCTCTTGGCTGTTGCGAGTCGCACCGCAGGGTCTAGACGCGATATCTGCATACATGCGTCGTTAAACCGCTTGACATATCCCCGGATAGACTCTCCTTCCTTCTAGATTATGCCAAGGAGGTTCTCCTCAATTCGTGGGCACCGCTTGCTGGTGACGAAGTGGGAGGTGAAAGCTTGTGCGAATTGCGCCCAACTCTTTATCGACCCAGGGGCAAGGTTTCGGTACCACGTGCGAGCCACCCCTTTGAAGGTAGTGGAGAAGGATACACACATGCAGGATTCACAGGCTCTCGCCAGGTGCATCTGGGACTGAAAAGGCGTCAACGTGATCATTTGGGTCGAACGACCCATCATACTTGTCGAGGGGGGGGGGGAGCTTGAAGTCCTTGGGCATTGGAACAACAAGGAATTTGGGAAACAGGGGGGACGGAACAGAAAGGAGGGTAGCCTTTGCTTCACCTGAGATTACCTCCTCCTTACCTTTGAGCTTGGGCAGGTCGCGCGTAGCGGTCCGGCGAGCTCGCCTGCGCCTCCGTTGTCGCGCTGGTGCTGCTCGCCTCAGTGTCGCCGAGCTCAATGAGCTTGGACTGCTGATGGTAGCTTTGGACTGAGGGGCCTTGCCCGTGGTTGGCGGCTAGAGCCTCGAACTGGTTCTCTGTGAGTGGGAGCCCGAATTGGGAGTGTTGGGGCACTGCGGGCTTGACCGGTTGGGTGGCCCTCGACTTGCCTGCAGGCTGCGGCACGGGGGCGGCCGGCCTCTCCCTCCTACCATGGGAAGAGGCTTGGCTCTTGGAGGGATTTTGGACCCGGGAGATCTCCCCTTGGCAAGGGCGCTCGCTCCGGGGGGAAGGCTTGGCTTGCTTTGCGACTGGGTGCCGAGGCGGGAGCTGCTGTGGAGTCTGGTGTAAGGAGGGGAACTGTTGCTGGTACTGGTATTGTGAGACTTGGTGCAACACTTGCTGCTGGTAGAGTTGGAGTTGCTGGAACTACTGCATTTGAGCTTGCATGGATCGCATGCACTGTACTAAGTCTTCCATCTGGTTTTGGTTCATCATTGTACTAAGTCTTCCACCGTGAGAGGCACATTCAAACTAGGTACTCCATCCACAGAGAGGGGGACGGTGAACTGTCCGAGGCAGACAGTGGGGAGCTGGGGTTGCTCCCCGGAGACGTTCGGGTTGGCACCACGCCCATCACTACTGGAAGAAGCCATGAGTGTTGAGTTTTTAGAAGAGAGTTGCAGAAACTAGGGGGAGGCTTTTTGAAGCGTTTCCCACAGACGGCGCCAAATGATGCTGCGCGATCCAGGCACTCCTAGTTGGCCGAAGCTTGGCTCTTAATTGGCGATGGAGGGTACCTGAGAAGGAAGATGAGATGAAGGATTCCTGTGGGTTTTTGCCCAGTGAGAACACTCTGATGCTTAAGTTAGAGTTCTGTAAGGAAAATGGAGAGTATGGGAGAAGCTAAGAGTATGGAAAGCGTAGAGTTAGAGAGATTACCCTGGCCCCTTGGGGGCTATGCTTCTTTTATAACATACCTCTACCAAATCAAGCGTAACCGCCACTGCCATATCGGGTGCAACCGTCACTACCCTCCTGTAACAACTGTTGTTTCCAAGGCTGAGGTGGCGGGCGCAAGCCGTCTCTGCAGGGTGTGTGCCTGTCGGGTGTGAGACACATTTCAGGGGTGGCAGGTACGATGCCACCTTTCACTAGGCAGGGGTGCAGTCCTCTGGTTTGGCATGTGTTATTAGGGAGACGTTTTCTGGACCCTTGGGTTACCTCGGGCCGAGCTGTATTCTGTCGGGCTCACCGGTACTAAGGTACCAGTGATGAGTCGAGCTGCCTTCTACCTGAGGCGCATCCTCCGCGGAGGAGCAAATGGCGCCGGCCCGTGGTGTCCCCAGCTCGGGACACTCAAGTTGGATCGGGGTGCTCCCCTCTTGGAAACGGCTTAGAGTTCAGTGGGAAGAACTCAGGACTTAAGAGCTCGGGCCCTAAGAGGAGCTCGGGCCTTGAGGAGAGTTCGGGCCCTAGGGGCAGTTCGGGGTTCCCTACATGGTGGGAGCCAAGGTTGGCTGGGCGCTAGTCCCCGGCGAGTTGCTTAACCCGGCGAGTGGCTAAGTTGGACTCGACAGGTCCTTCCGTCGAGTCATAGTCGTGTTGTTAGGCTGAGCTGTTCGCCGAGCCAGGTCATGTGCATGTGTCCCTCTGTTATGAGGTCGGGCCAAATCACCCTCCATCAATAATAATAAAATTATTATTATTATTAATTTTCTATTTCTATCCTAATTATGATATATTTAAAACAGTAAAATTCAAATAATTAATATGAAAAAATTATGTGGTTTGTTACTAGAATGTTCGCAATATAAGATTGAAATATATCCCAATTCGTTTTGAGTCCGGTTGTGCTCCTCACACCGACCTCACATCATATTGCATATTCCAAAATCCAAATCAGCTATCCCCTTCCTTTTTTCTTCCTGGAAGGGGGAGGGACTGAGGGAGGCTCGAACTGCGTTCCATCGAACCAGCTTGAACGAAGCAACCCCATCTACATTTCTTTCTCTCCTCTCCTCCACTGTCTATTTTTTTTTTTTTTTTTTTGTTTCTTTTCACCTTCTGGGTTGAAAATTAGGCGTTTTGGGTTGTAGAACCTCCCTCCCCCCACTTGATCAACGTCGTCCACCCTCTCAACCATCAGCAGCAACTGTGAAGAGGAAAAACGTTGGGAAAGGGAGCTCGAACGGTTGTAGGAGCGGCTATTCAAGATTCAGGCGAAACAGAGCTTCTGCGATCCATTTCCAACATAAACGCAGACCCTTTATTGGTCGCTGCAACATCCCTAGAGTTTCAAGGCGAGTCAGAACCACCATTGGTACCAGTCCAGACGCAGGGGTAAGCTCTCTTTATATCATAGGCGTTTTTCTCTCATTCTTTCAACTTCAGCTATCTCCGGTTGAAGCTCAGAACAGAGAGGGTTGGCTTTAGGCAAGAGAGGTACGAAGGGGGAACCCCAGTACCACCCCACACATTGGGTTTCGAGGTTTCGGCTTGAAGAGAAATGAATTCGAACATGGCAATGCAACCCTATGTGTTATCAGTTAATACCTTCAAGGCTTACCTCAGTTTATGTCCTCTCTATTAGGGTTTGTTTGATCCATTCAAGTAATTGTTAGCTCCATGAGAGGTGTAAAAGGGGGAGAACCCCAGTACCACCCCATTCATTGGACTCCAGCCCGAAGCTTGGGTCATGAACAGGGAAAGCTTGATCTGTCTTCCGCCTGGCTTTCTCAGTTAATTCCATGGCAAGGTTGGATTGCATATTTAGTGTTTGATAGTTTTTCTCTTTGAGTTTCTAACGGAGCTTAGTTTCTGTACACAACCATAGGCCAGCGGCTCAAACATGCACCGTTGTTGAATCTGGCACTAAAACACTCTAGATAAAAAAATAGAGAAAAAGGAATCAAAGCAAAATAAAATATATGTACGGTAAGTAGAATGTGAAGTAGGACATTACTTTCCTTGAAAATTCTTTGATATCAAGAAAAAATGTCAATTGAGTCTTCTATTTTGTTTCCTTTCCATCTGAGAGTTTAAGTAGCAGCAAGTATTGCATTATACCTTCCCCCTTTTGATTCAAGAAAGAAAAAGAAGAAAAAAATGAATGTAGACTTAATAGACTTTGATATATGTTTGGAGCTGAGCCGCTGAGGACCTGATTGTCTACTTCTGATGTGTTTAGCTCCGTTTTTTTTTTGAGGGTTAATTTTTTTTTAGGGGGCTCTAATACTGTGTGTACAGCCTCTTTACAGATCTTTATACTTTTGATACTTAATACAATACTTTATCTTACTCACTATTAGCATTGTATTCAGGTACAATCGACCTCCAATGCTCATGTTTTTCAGATTTGATGTTTAGGGTATAAAATTTCTAACATGTAGGATTTAGGGTTTAACATTTTTTTTTGATAAATAAATAGAACCTTTTATTATTTGGAAATATTGGCACATACAAGCAGCCCTTGGAGATGCACAAGCTGCGATCTCTCCACTAAAGAAGAAAACAAAAGCAATAAGTTACAGTTGTGCCCAATACAAAACTTCCCTAGCCGCCCCTTGCTTGGCTAGATAGTTCACCATAGCATTTGTTGATCTCCCCACCCATTTTATTCTTAGGTCCATGTTTCTTGTCAGCACCTTAAACTTTTTAATTTCATTCCTGAAGCACCAAACTACTGACTTTGGGTCCTGCAACCCAGCTTATTACAACCTTTGAGTCATCTTCAACTATTAGCTGTTCCACCCTAATTGAGCTGCAAACTGTACATCTTGTTGGGCAGCAAATAATTCTGCTCTAGTAGAGTCTCCCACTCCTAAAGGACTTGAGAAGATAAGTATCACATTCCCGATTTCATTCTTCAATACCTCACCTAACCCAGAAGGGCCTGGGTTTCCTAGACTGCTTCCGTCAAAATTCAACTTCAAGAAGCCTATAGGAGGTGATGACCAATTTGTTCTCACTTTAGTCTTGAAAGAGGAACAACTTGCCACTGCTGCCCAATTCCTCCAAATGTCATTAAAGGAGAATTGGAGGAACAAGTCCAAAGATTTCAGCCAATGAATCACCCTAACCAAGACACAGTCCTTAATCTCTTGAAGGTTCCTTTCCTTCTCCAAAAAAGTTCTCGCATTCCTTTCTTCCCAAATTGTCCACATCAATGCAGTTCTTGCACACCTCCACATGATTTTACCCCTTTTCTGCTGCCAAACAAAAGTAGAGGGATCAAAAAGCAATCTTAAATTTGCTGGCAAGTTCCAACTGCTCCCAAACAAAGAGAGAAGTCAATCCCATAACTTTGCAGTAAAGGAACAAGAGATTAGCAAATGATAACAGTCTTCACTCTAAGATCTGCAAAGGATGCACCGGTTGGGGGAAATATAGAGAAAATGCCTTCTCTTTTGTAGATTGTCCAAGGTATTTACTTTCCCATAGTACACTTCCCAGCAAAAAGCCAAAATCTTAGGGGGAATAGGTCTGCACTCTGCACCAAACATCCTTAACAGGGAAGGCTTGCTAAGGGTTAGAACAAAGGGATTTGAAAAAAGAAGCACAAGAGAAGAATCCTTTTGATCGAGGTTTAGTGATTTAAAAGGCGTGCCTCAGGTGCGCCTAGGCACACAGGCGAGGCGCATTTCAGGGTATGTGCCTAGGACCTGGTATGCGCCTTGCCTAGGTCCTAGGCGCAGCCCTTGGTGCTCCTTGCACCTCAGCCTAGGCGTGCGCCTTTTGAAAATTTGACGCTTTTTTGTTTTTTTTTGAACATAGCGGCTGGGCCGGGGGCGGAGCCCTCGAACCCCCGTGTCATGCCCCTCGAGGCAAGCCCAAACAAGTCCACCTTAGGTCTTAAATTTTTTAGTATTCACACAAAAAATAATGATTTTATAGTTTTAAATTTTTAATTACTTTTTAAGAAGACATTTTATTAGGATGGATGAATGAACAACATTACCAAATTGGGGGTTCTCGGAGCTTCGGTGAGCGAGCGAACAAAGGCGGCTCGTAGAATCAGGAATGTAATATGTTTTACATTACATTAGCTACTTGAAGTAATGCAATTGAGTGAAAAAAGAGATTAGAGGTTTTACATGCTTGAAAATGTTTTATATGTTTGATTTTATTTTTAAATTCTCATTTGAATATGCTTTACATCTTATATTTATGTATTTTAATTTTAGATAATAGGTTTTTTAAAATTCAAGTTTATATTTTTTATTAATATTATGTTTAATATTTTTTTATTTTTTTTGGCATTTTTTTTTAATTTTTTGACTTTTTTATTGCTTAGCATTTTTTTTTGTATTTTTGCGCCTTGCTTCAAAAAGGCACACGCCTCGCCTTGCGCCTCAGGTGCAAATTGACCCCTACACCTTTTTTGCACCTTGCGCTTTTAAAACACTGTCGATGTGTCCAAATTCTTTTGTCAGGTTCAGTGGGGTTCAAACAAACTTTCTCAAGAAGGCAAAGTAAACTGACTAAGCACCCAATCTCCTCATCCTTAAGCCTCTACGGAACCCAAAATCCTAAGTAGGAGCCCAAGGGGTTTCCATGAGGAGCAAAATTTGGAATCTTTTTTGTACTGAGAAATAGAGAACAAGGAGGGGAAAAGGGTTTATAAGGGGACATCTCCAACCCAAATTTCCTCCCAAAAGAGGACGGAGTTGTCATCACACACATCATACCTGATATAACTGAGGAAGGAACTAAGGAAGAATATTGTGCACTGCCTTCCAAGGGGTTGCTGAAGTTGTCCGTCTTGATACACCAACATCCCATCTATTCTCTGAGCATCCATGTATGCTTCTGATGACCTTATGCCACAACTTGACTCTCTCTAAAGGCCACCTCCACAACCACTTCCCTAGTATGGCTGTATTTTTCTAAATTAAGTTCCCTAAACCAAGCCCCCTTCCTCTTTACTCCTATACACCACCTCTCACTTAATTAAATGATCTTTCCTATTTTCCCCTGGTTCCAAAGAAAGTCTCTAATAAATTTTTCCAAATTCTTAGCTTACCTAGTTAAGATCCTAAAGATAGAGAGATAATATGTTGGAAGGTTTGCAAGTGTAGCTCTTATTAAGGTGATTCTTCCCCCTGAGAAATGTAGTTCTTTTTCCTTGAAGCCAATCTCTCCACAAACTTCTCTATAACTGGGCACCAACACCTACTTTCCTGAGGATTTGCTCTTAGAGGAAGCCCCAAATAGGTCAAAGGCCAAGTAGAGATAGAACACCCTAAGCACTCTGCAATAGCCTCCACTTCTCTTAATTCCAAATTAACCCCTGCAATGCAACTCTTTTCAAAATTGATTTTCAAGTAGGGGTGCAAGTCGAGCGGGCTGGGTCGGGTTTTAGCTCAACCCTAAGAATTGGACCTAAAGCCCGAGCCCTATCCAAGCTTGAGGTCAAGCCTGAATTATTCAACCCAAGACTAGCCCGCACTAAAATATTAGGCACTCGAGTTGGGCCCGGGCTCGTGCTAAACTTGAATTGGTTAATCAGCCCAAAGGCCAAAGCCCCAGATTAAAATTTAATCAGCCTGATGAGTTTTTACTCGCTTTGGGTTTCCTTAATTAATGTTACCAACTTGCCATAATAAGTTTTCACTCGCTTTGGACTTTTGGGCTTTTGGCGGTTTGGCCTTTGGGTTTCCTTAATTAATGTTGCCAACTTACCATAATGGCATTCGAATTAAAAGAATTTGAAACATCAAAGTCTCATAGACACACAAAGAGTGAAAGAGGGAAGTCGTGTTTAGAAAAAGAAAACTTAAGAAACTAATTAATGACTTTGAGTAATGGCATTGACAATTGACACATGGCACCTAATATTAAATTAGTAATTTATTAATTAAACAACTACCATTAAGCCAACATAATAACATATTAACATACGATTCATTGATTCAACTATATACTACATGTACAATACATCGGGCCAGGCTCGGGTTACCCAAGACCTCAACCCAAGGCCAACCTGAAAAAAATAAAAACCCGCCTTTTCAAGCCCAAGCCCAACCCGAGGCCCAGAAAATCTAACCCAACCCGTGAAAAAAATTGGGTTGGGTCGGGCTGGGCTCTGGTTAAGCCTGCCCAAGTTGCACCCCTATTTTCAAGTAAGAAAGACTTTCAAAGTTTCAAATCAACATCTTTAAACTTCTCACCCTCTCAATCTCAGCCCCCTCACAAAAGATTAAGATATCATCCACAAACTGGAGATGGGTAACTGGGGTCTCATTTCTACCAACTCTCCATTCTCTAACTACACCTTCTCTATTAGCCTTAGAGATTAAACAACTAAGCACATCAGCCTTTGTGTTCTCATCTCTTTGCCATTCTTCACAATGACTATTCGTACCCTAGGGTTTAGGTTTGAACATTCCTAATGTTTAATGTTTAGGGTTTTAACATTTCTAATGGTCTATCTCCCATGCATCTTGCTTTGCAATATTACTTTTGGATTTATGGTTTTGGATCTTAAAGGTTATTAATTTCTGATTTTGTTTCACCATTAACTGCTTGTTTAATTCATTCTGAATGCATGTTACAGAAATGGAATTGATTTCTAGTTTTGTTTGATCATTAATTCTGTAATTTTCCAAAACTAGGCTCAAAATCCATTGTGAATGCATAATGATTGGACATATGCAAATTTTTATTGTGTTAATGAACAAATTGACTCCATCAAAGTCCATTAAAATTATCTTGAGTTGGATAGGGTCTGTTTTACCTGAGACAAAATGTTATGACTATACAAATATAAGAAGGAAAATGCCTAAAGATTTCAATCATTAATCTTGAAAAGCCAACTGACATTTATATGTTATTGTTTAACAGCATTAATAAATGTTAAAATCCATTATATTCATAACATTAGCAAATCCCTTTGTATGCTATTGTATTCCATCAAAATCTGTTAAAAACCAAGCTTCCCACCCTTGTATTGGATGCCATGGAAATGAAAGAATTTGCTTCCCCAACAATGCCTTCATAGCAGGAACTAAAGGAGAATTTTCATTTTTTTTTTCAGTATAATTCTTCATTCTCAATTTTTTGCTTTGTTTCTATACATGTTACTGTTTGAAGACCTTTCAAATCTGAAATTATTATTATTATTATTGTTGTTGTTGTTGTTATTATTATTATTATTATTATTATTATTATTAAATTTCTGTATTTATTTTGAGCTGAAATCTGTTATTTTGCCTTGCTTTATTTACATTTGATATATGATCTGTTTGAAGACCCTTCAAATTAATTTCTCATGTGATTCCCTCATGGATTTGCTACTATGAGATAAATTTCTTTAGAGCTGAAATATGTCATTTTGCTTCGTAGCATGGCCTGAATCTTGCTTGTTTGTATTTGCTATATGAGAAATATATATTTTGTGTATGTGTTTGCTGAAGGTCCTTTGTGTTAGGCTAAGGAGAAATATAAAAAGAAGAGATCCACAAATGGAGCAAAGGATTACTTGTTCTGTTATATTTCTTGTGAAGCGGGAGAGTTCAAAACAAAGAAGATGCTTTTTAAACTTACTGACTTAGTTTTTTTTTTTTCACCTTGATATCTGGATGCCCTAAAAAGAATATGGAAGGACTATTTGAATGGATATCTACATTCATTTATGTAGTGTTGAAGTTCTGTAATGCTTGTAGGACAGCATGTTTGGTTTTGTAGCCCTGGGAGACAAAGCATTTCTATTTCAAATATTCTTATGTCTATCTATTTTCTGCCATTATCTTTCATTATTGTTTGAGCACACTGATATTTCTGTTTCCTCTTTACAGATATCCCCTCTACAGCATTATAACAAATAATGGAAGTGGAAATTGACCATTATGAAGTTATAGGGTTACCATCAGGTGAGGAGGGTGCAAAGCTTACAGAAAAAGAAATATCAAAGGCTTATAAGATAAAAGCCCTTGAATTACATCCAGATAAACGTAGGAATGACCCTAATGCTCATGTCAACTTCCAAAAACTCAAATCCTCCTATGAGATTCTCAAAGATGAAAAGGCTCGCAAGCTATTTGATGATCTCCTCCGCATTAAGCGTGACCAAAACCTGCGGCAATCACAGTTGAGTGCCAAACGGCGCAAGATGATGGATGATCTTGAAGAAAGAGAGCGTGCTGCCTTTGCTCCAGATCCTGCTGCAAAAGCCCGAGAAGAAGAAGCGAGAATTGCTAAGCAACTTAAAGAAGAGATTTCCAGAATTCGTGCTATGCACTCTAAAAAGGCAAAAGGGGGAACAGAGGACCTGGATGCTAGGACAATGCGGATGGGATCAGAGAGCATGGCTAATGTTGAAGGTTTAGATAAGGAGAAGGTTTTGAAGGTTTCCTGGGAGAGCTATGGTGAGGATTATAGTGCTGAAAGGTTGAAGGAGATATTTGGGAAATTTGGGAATGTCGATGATGTTGTAATTCGATCAAAGGGGTCAAAGAAGAAAAGGTCTGCACTTGTTGTCATGGGATCTAAAAATTCTGCGGTAAGTTTACAATCCATTCAGAGTTGAATTATGGTACTTATAGTTTGATCTTGGTGCTAATTATGTTTTTCTATTTGTTAGGATGCTGCCACAAGAACTGTGTGTGGAGATCTTTCCAATCCATTACTTGTTCTTCCTCTTCATAAAGCTTCAGCTACTTCCAGTGCTTCTTCTGCCAAAATGCATGAAGAACAACCTGATGATGACAAGTTAAATAACACTGTCGGTGTTGGACATCAGGCATTTGAAGATTCCATACTAATGAAGCTTCGAAAGGTTTGGATTTTGGGACTAAAGACTAAACTATTTCTGGTTCTTTAGTTTCTTTCTGATGTCTTCAGTTCAAGAAAGCAAATCTAGTATGTGGGTTTTGGTTACTATGAAAATTCTTTATTAAAATAAATGCTAAATGGTTCTTAATGTTTCACTTTTTTGTGGTTGTCATTTTTTTTGTTCATTGTCACCATTGACTTCATCCATGCATTATCCCAAGTTCCCAACTATACGGGGTCAGCTACATGAAACCTGTTTTGCATTATATTTTGTTAATGACGTTTCATTTTATTTTATTATTATGATTACAAAATGCTGGTCCTCAGTTGGAAGCATAATTGTATTATTGTAGTACCATCATGGTTTAGTGGGTTGACAAGTTAACAATTAGTATAATCTTTTTGAGCAATGCTAGGATGCTGGGCCTTGTTCATGAAGCCCTTAAATTGTAGAAGGATAAGATTTAGATGGATCTTTTTTTTTGGCAAATACACAGGGTTAGGGGATGTTACCTTTCATCCTTTTGTGGTTAGGGCTCTATGATGCACACTCCTGTTTGTTTTGGAAATTCAGATTTCTGAGGGGTCTTGGACATCATAAAATCGTGGATGCTACCTTTTCTATTGATTTTTTTCAAAGATGTTTCACTTTAGGGTATGGGCTGGAGATCCAAAATACCTTTTCTCTTTTTTGTTTTTTAAGAAACTCTTGGTTCCTCAGTTTACCTGCCAAAGCAACCTGGTGAGGTCCTATTCCACTAAATAAGAGCTTTTGTAGGGAAATGGTATAAATGACATTTAAAAAAAAGAAAAATCCTAATATCAATTGCACATGCTGCACACGCAAGTTTATACATTCTCCTCCAAAAGCAAACCAAAGGAGATTTGGATATGCTAGGTTATCGTACTTTGAACATCTTGTTCTATTATCAAGATGAATCATGTGCATGAACTTCATTTTTTAGAAGTTGTGCCTTTTTATGGTTTTTATAGTTGCATATTTCTCCTTTTTATTTTTTTATTCTTTTTATATTTTTTATGTAGTTTTATGTTGCATATTACATTATGAAATGAAATAGTTAGAACCTCATGTCAGTTATTATATCCACCCTCAGAAAGATACCTTTCTCCTTCCCTACCTTTTCTTTCTAAAGGAAAATCAGAGGCTCCTTGTCTCTTGTGGCTGCTTGATGAATAGAGAAAAAATGATACAACCTAAAATTATCCACATAGAACCTTATTCTAGAGCTAATGCAACTTCAATAATACCAATTCAAACAAGTAGAATGAGCAATTTATTTTAATTGATATGAGAAATCCAAATAAGAAATTAGCATTGAATATTTTCTATGAAGACTGTAATGAGGAGAGAATAGGAAAGCTAAGGGACTTGGTCAATGATTTCCAAAGGATCTCAAGTCTAAAGGTAAATTGGGATTAAAGCTGTGTGGCAGGAATCAATTTGGAAGAGGGTAGCATTCAGCTATGGGTAGAAATCCCAAGTTGTGAGGTGAAAAGTGGCCCCTAGATTACTTTGGCTTACCGTTGGGAGGAAACCCGAGAGCAGAAAGCTTTTGGAAATTGGTCCTAGAAAGATTTGGCAAAAAGTTGGCTATGTGAAAAGGAGCTATATTTCTTTAGTGGGAAGAATAACTCTAGTTAAACCCACTTTAGCAAATCTGCTCATTTACTACCTATCCACCTTTGGGATCCCAACCAAAATAGCTAGACAACTAGAAAAATTATGAGGGACTTCCTTTGGGAGCCAGGGGAGGAAAGAAAGGATCACTTGATAAAATGGGAGCAGGTGTGTAAATCAAAGGAGTAGGGTGGCTTAAGTATTGGGAATCTGATTAAGAGGAATACGGATCTACTAGGAAAGTGGCTTTGAAGATTCCCCCTAGAAGGAGATGGGCTTTGGCACAAAGTCATTGAAAGCATATGTGGTTTAGGGGAGAATGGCTGGGGCGCAAAGCTGGACTCTCACACATTCAAGCAATAACAGAGGTACTCCCTTTATTCTTAAACTCCATTCGATTTGATGTGGGAAGTGAGAATAAAGTTCTCTTTTGGGAGGATCTTTGGGTAGGAAACTTGCCCCCTTGCCAACAATTTCCAATCATATACTCCTTGACAACTTACAAGGTTGAACCTATTTCCAACTTTGGTACAGAAGAAAAACAAACTTCTGAAATAAACACTGTTTAAAATAGTGCAGAAAAGTGATAGAGAACAGCAGAAACACAGAATCAAGAAGAGAGAAGAAGAAGAAGGTGGCGGCAATAAGGGTTCAGAGAGAGATTTTCGAAATCTAATCCTCTGTTACACCCTAACCCCTCTTCATTAACTTAATTTCAGTAATTACAGAGAGGCCCTTAACTGGGTGAATAATTTAAAATAGACATAACATAAGTAAGGCCCATTACAGCAAAGAACATAAAGAAAATAAATAAGAAAATAATTTATGGGCCATTCGGCCCATCTTCTCTASACTCCCCCTCAAGCTGAGCGTAGATGTCAATCATGCCAAGCTTGCTAGTATCATGCTGAAGTTTGGCCTTGGGGATGCCCTTGGTAAGGAAACCAGTTAATTGTCCTTCAGAAGAGATAAATGGTAGACAAACTTCTCCAAAAGCCACTCTTTCTTGGATAGTGTCTGTCAACTTCAATATGTTTGGTTCTGTCATGTTGCACCGGATTGTGAGCAATGTTGGTGGCAGCCTGATTATCACATATAACACTAATGGCTTATCATACTTAATACACGGTTCCTCCATCAAAGATCGAAGCCAAAGCAGCTTAAAAACTCCATGAGCCAAAGTAGGAGGAGGCATAAGTCAGGGTGCAGAATAAAGAATAAGGTGTACAACAGGAGGAGGCTCCCGTGGTCAATCCAGGAGACAGAAA